TTTAATATCACCAACCATTCCCATGTTATTACGGTGTATCCATATAATGGCCCAAACAGTAGTTTGGTGGTGGTGGTGGTGGTGGTGGGGGGGTTGCCAAGAACAACTCAATAATGAGACCTGTATAAGGGGCGTGTAACTGGGCGAGAAGTCACGGCTAACTGGGGAGGCAGGAGGTGTGGCCCACGAACGCATGGACCTTGTGGGAGAAAGACGGTGAATTTTGCTTGCGTCGAGACCGGCCACCGCCATCACCTGTGAGTGATTGAGAGCCGAGATAAAAAACAAAACGTAAAAAAACAACAGTTCTTAGAGGTGCCATTCCTTCATCATCACAATATTAATGCCCCAAAAAGGTGTAGGTACATGCTGCTGCATCAGGTGTAGTGGAAGAGCTGTGCATGATGGAGAAGGAGGAGCACCGTCTCCACTATTTCTTCTCCGAAGACACTCAAAGTTGAATGTTGGTCTGTTGGAGGCTGAGAGGACACAGAAAACAGTAGTGATTAATGCAATCATTCATCATAAATCCACAGACATTTATAGACAACTGCAATTATTGCAATGACATGTTGTTTTCTTTTATGCTTATCATCCCTGTTGGACAACATCTCCCACCCCGTGCAGCAGACTGTGACAGCACTGGGCAGCTCCTTCAGTGGGAGACTGTGGCACCCACGGTGTGGGACGGAGAGATTTCGCAGGTCTTTTCTCCCCACTGCTGTCAGACTCCACAATAAAGACTTTAACTGATCAAACACACACATCCACACATGTGCAATAACACTAAGTGCAATAATCTTTTCTGGCATCGTTGTATTTTTACTCAGTTGTATATAGCATTTGTATTCTATTTTTATCTTATTGTATATTTTATTCTATTTTATTCTACTGTATATAGTATTTTATTTTATTCTATTCTGTACAGTTGTGTACTGTATTTATTCTTATTGTATTCTAATTTTTGCTTCATAACTTGCACTGTCCACTTCCTGCTGTGACAAAACAAATTTCCCACGTGTGGGACTAATAAAGGTTATCTTATCTTATCAAACTGCTAAATGACCATTAATAGGTGCTTTCTATGCTCATCAGCGCAACAGATTCCAGTTAACTGTTCTGCTCTGCCTTCTTGACTGTGTGACGTATGAGCTGGTATTCTTATCCTAAGGAAAGAAGGCTATTTTCTAGGGTATGAAAATCTAATTAAACAAAAAAACAAACGAAAAACCTCAAGATTTGATAAACCAGTGCGCACCTGCATTGCTTTAAACAGAGCGTGAGAGCAGTGATATGCGTCAGTGCACTAGCAGAGAAGTACATCAAGTACATCTCTGGCTATCACAACGGTTATCAGCTAGCAGCTAAACAAATATTATCTGATGGAGAGTGTTTTCGTGCTTGAAGGCAGTAGTGAATATTTTTGTAGATTTTTATGCTTCTTCCCATGTGGAGTCCTTCAGTCAGTTAGCCAAGTTTATTAGTCCTTTAAAAAAATAACACAGTTCTTATCTGTGCTAACATATAACATAAAACTGTTAACACAATAAACTTTCATAAGTTTAACACAATGTGCCACTGGAACTACAAAAAAAAAAGTGAATTATTATTAATGATTCCGTGCCAGTTCACCAATATTAGCGAGTAATATTAGCTATTTGTAAGTATATATGTTTCGGCCTATATAACAGCCGATAAGGGAACATTAAAAAAAGAAAAAATAAAGAAAAAAAACATGAAAAACATCCTTCAATCATGTTAAGAGAGTTGATGTTGCATTTTTTATCCAACAGAGGACACATCTAGCGACACATCTGTATGGAACACAAAACACAACAACGTGCTAATCTGAGCAGAGTCGTGCAGAACATAAGTGAATAATCTACAGGGAGTTGTAAATGAAATTTATTTTTAAATAAAAATCCTTTTCTTTAATAAGGAGTGATAAATCACCAAAAATAATAAATGTTGTTCAAATCTGTTTATGTTTTTTGTGCCCTAAAGAAAATCATTTTTAGCCTCTATATATTCAAATTTTACTCACCAAATATTTTTTAGCTATTTTTAAAATCCTACATCAGTCAGACTCTTATTCTGTTATCCATTAATTTACAACAGTTCTCATCAATTCATGTTATATTGGATGAGTAAAAAAAAAAGTTATTTTCTTTCAACAACGAGGTAATTTCTCTATGAACCTCACCCATTTAAAAACATAGCTAGATGAAACCCTAGCCGTTTAACAATAATTTACATACAGTAGTGTACCATGCAATGACAGTACTGATTCAAAATGAATGGTACAAATTAGTAAGTTCTGCATAGTTCACAGATGTGAGATCAATTTGCCTGAATCAGCTAATAAACATCTGACTTGAGAAATTTCTTGCAAACAACAAGTAAAATGATCCTTTATTAAATTTCACAGGTGTAGTGACAAAAACAAAAAAGTATCAGTTCACCTTGAGGTGAGGGTAAAAACCATTTCCTGGGTGACGCCCTGCTGTCCTGGTAGATTGGCTGTTGATCATCGTCACAGTAACTTTCAGACTGGCAGTCACCCCTGGAAACGAGGTCAAAATCTCCCTCTGCATCATCATGGCATTCATTGTTGGACAACCTTTGACACAAAAAGATAAAAACTTTGAAAATTAACTTTATCTGTAACTATGATGTCACGGGACGCAAACAGTGGAAAGAAAGTTACACAGAAAAGTAATAGACTGGTGACATTAACCACCAGCATAAACCACAAGTGCTCAATCTAGATATAAGACAGCTGAACTCAGAGGAAAGAAAATACTTCCGTGAAGTCATCGGTACACAGTAGTAAAACCACGGCTGCATTTACGTAGCTGGTGTGTCAATTTTATCTCACGCTTTCCTCAGATTAGATTAAACCAACTTTTCTTTTCCAGAATTACCTTTCCTTTGTGAGCATGATGTCATCTTCATGAAATTCCTCCCCACTGAAGTACTCGCCTGAGCCTCTCTCTTCATCGCTGTCCCCATTGCCCCTCTCCTGTCGACGAATGGTGGGATAAAGTGCTCCGCTGCTCTCTGACCTGGCATCCAAACAGCAAAGACACAGTAAATCATACTGATGTCGCTGGATTGGATTAACCATTATCATCTGTTTTCTTCAGATTATTGCATCCGCATTCTAAAAAAGTTGGGATGCTGTATAGAATATAGGTAAAAGCTGAATTTGGTGATTTGCAAACATAAAAACTTGACTCCTTTTTAAAATTAAATAGAACACAGAAAACACATCGAATGTGTTACAATATTTACTTTCAATTCAAAAACAAAAAGGTCATTTTGAATTTGATGACAGCACAGAAAAAGCACAGAAAAATTTGGATAGGGCCATTTTCACCACTGTGTAGCATCCCTTCCACTTTAATTAACAGTCCACAAACATCTGAGAACTGAAAAGTCCAATTACTTGACTCTTAGGAGAAGTTTTTCTGTATCAGAAAAACAGGTGTTCTGGATGGAAGCACATGTAGCTCTAAAACTGTAGTACCTCTCAGCAATAATAGTGCATTTGCAAGGTGCCAATTCCACAGGTGCTAATGCCACCCACAGAGCTGTAGAGCTTGAGCACTGATAACAACAAGTTGTCCACACCATCTTTAGTCCAGTGTTCAAGTTTTCCAGAAAGAATTTCACAGTTCAGTTTGTCTGACTTCCATTTTCACTGAGTTTTGGCCCAGAGATGACAGCATGTTTAGATCATGTTCATATATGGCTTCTTCTTTGTATGGTAGAGCTTTTGTTAAGTCAGATTGTTGAATGTTGTCATTGTTTTTCTTAAATTTGTAAAGGCTCAGTTCAAACTATAGGATCAAGGACATTCCTTTGTCTGACCCCCTCTCGAGCCTCTCGAAGTTCTGGGAGGAGGCTGGTTCTGACCAAGCCTTTCCTCGTTAGCGAGTAAAAGACCGGTTGAAGATGTTCTGTCTTGGTTTTGTTCTTCATGAGGAATAAGTCTCTAAACTAGTGGGGCCTGTGGAAACACAGACTCTACAGCTTTAATCTGCATTTATGGATGGCACTAAAGACAATGTTGTTTTTAATGCAGTATTGACTGAGGGCCTGAAGATTAACGGCCTGCAGTACCGATTTTTACTCTTGTTCCACTCCAGATTCTTTCAATCTTTTGATGATCTTATTTAGATGAAGATCTATTTAAAATCTTCACAAATTTGAGGAAGAATATTCTGAAATTGTTACACATCTTATGCTGCAACTGACAGTGACATATACTTACAGTTTATTTGCATATTTCCCATCTTTACCTCTGAGAAATGTTGCCTCTCTATGATCCTCTTTTTAATACCACTAACTTTTCCAGTCTTTTGTTCCCCCTGTCCCAACTTTTTTAGACATGTTGCTGCCATCAACTTTAAAACAAGCTAATATTTTTTTACAAAATAGTCAAATGTCTAAGTTTAAACACTAGATATATTTAATATGCTCTGCTGTGAATAAAAGATTTATATATGAATTTGCAAATCATTGCAAAAATGTCAAAACTCTTTGAAAGTGGGTTTGTACAAATAGTAATAATCCTTATTGTCATAGAGTTGCTTTTCCATAGACTGCTAATTCAACCAGTCACCACATATATACTGTATGAACTGGCCCATTTATCATTTTTTGGATTAAAAGGTCAGAAGCTTTCACATGTTTTGTGACAATCGTACACAAAACCAATATGCTTTGAAGCTCTGTGAGCATTAACATCATGTACATACCTAATATAGGCCTCATAGTAGCGTGTCCTGCTCCAGGGACAGGAAGAGGAGATGGATCAGGCAGACAGACGGGATTTGTTGGAACCAGAAACCAGGACGGGGAGGGGAGGGGGGGTTCATGCAATGACAAATGAAAAGAGGATACAAGCTGAAATGCTTAAATGGTCTTGTCGGTTTTTCGCTCCTGCTAGAAAACAAGATCTATAAATAATCCACAAATTACAGATAAGAAATGAGGTCACACGATGCCACGGTTTTTCCAAGAATGAACACCACCGAACATTCAAACTGTGGATTCCTAGGAACTGCAACAAACCCAGGTGCAATATGTCAGACCCGACAGCCTCAGTTAGCATGTTTTTTTTAAAGTTCATGACAGCACAATTAGAAGAAGACTGAAGAAAGTTGGCTTGTTTAGAAAGGCTGCCAGAGGAAACCCTTTTCTCTCTCAAAAAAAGATGGCAGCATGGTTTAGGTTTGCAAAATTTCCTCTGAAAAAATGCAAGACTTCTGCAGCAATGCACTTTGGACATGTGAGACCAAAATAGAGAAGTTTGGCTATAATGCACAAACACCTCATACCAGTACGTTAGTGGAAGGATGATGATGTGTGCTTGTTCTGCAGCCACAGGACCAAGACACCTCACAGTCATTGAGTTGACCATGAACTCCTTTGTATACCAAAGTAAGTAGTAGTAGTAGTCAAATGTGAGGCCGTCTTTCTGACAGCTAATGCTTAACCCGAATTGGGACGTGCAACAGGACAACGATCCCAGGCACAGCAGGAAATCTACAGAGTTTGCAGAGCCCAGCCCTCAAGACAATTCAAATGGGACCTTTGGAAAGCGGCGCATAAATGAATACCTGCAAACGTCAATGATCTGAAATAACGTAGTAAAGAAGAGTTGGTCAAAATTCCTCCACAATGATGTGAGCGATAAAGACATAAAGAAAACAACTGTTCAAGTTAGCACAGTTAAAGGTGGTTCTACAAGCCACTGAATAAAGGGGTGCATTTAGTTTTTCATAGGACTCAATGTAACCGAGAATATGTGTAGAACATGCAGATGAATGAATCTATAAAAGCGATCATTTGTTAAATACATACTGATAAAACACTACAAAACTGAGATCTTTTTAATGCAGTGAACTATAATGTAATGATATACATTATATCATACAGCGCACTGCCAGACCAAACTTCTGAAATGTCAGGGGAAAAAGTCATTAACATACTGTGTTAGTGTAAGTGTAAACAGTTGTACTGGCAGATTTATTTATTCATGTATTAAATACAAATATTTTAACCATATCGCTTTTTTACTTAGTTGTATGCATGTGCACTACAAATGGGCCTTATGCTCTATCACGCATATATGCGCACACAGTGAGGCCATTGTAAGTTCATGGGAGATGTTAAATAGATAGTGAAACTCCTTCTGCTTATCAGGAATGTAAATCTTAAGGTGACAGAAAATAGGGTCATGATTCTCTCTGTAAGTGACAAGGCTTTATGGATGTGCCTGAGGGTATAGCCCTCATCCCCCATGAGATGGGCCAGCATGTAAGAGTTGTGGAAGGTCTTTGTCTGTGTGTATAAATATAAGATGTGAGGGCGGCAGAGATGATCCTTGGCTGGGATGTTTCTCTCTACATTGCAGTGTGTTTATTAAACCCACTTCAAAACGGGTGCTTTATTCTACACAAAGAAAAGGACCATGCAACAAATGTGCATAGCTACTGTGGATTTTAACACTGCACTTATGTGTCCTTCAACCAACCTTGTGGAGTGCGACTTCCAAGGCTTGCCTTGCAGTCCTTTGCTGTAAGTAGTTGTTGATGATGCGTTTCTGGTGGAGGATGGGCGACTCCGTATTAAACACTTCTGCTGCCTCGCAATGGTCATGGAGAGAAGTGAGGGCACATTGGCATTGTTGAGGTTGGCATTGGAAGGTATTGGCGACTGAACACAAGTGGAATTACAGTGAGGGTAATGAGTGGTGTGATGAAGTTGATTGCACAGGATTGGTGAAGAGTTCAGTTCGGTCTCTCCTTCTCTATCGTTACTGCTGGCTCTCCTGACGATTTGCGGGGGCTCGGTCGAGGCAGCGCTGGAGAAGGGCAGGATCTGTAGTGGCCGCTGTGTGACGGTGGTGGGGTGAGAAGAGCCTTGCTGATCCCCACCTATGTGGTTGACATGGTTCCCAAAAAGGCTGCCATTACGCTGCACGGAGACACCAGAAATGAAGACTAAATATGACTGCTTAATAAATGAAACTAAACTCAGAACATACTCTTTTCTACCAGAGAGAACCAGTGACAGTTTGACAAAATATCCATTCTCAGATTTCCTGGAAAATTCTATGCAATGAAGTGAGTGACTTATTAAGTATTGAGATGTGTTAAGTGGCATTAAGAACAAAAACAACAAAGGACATTCGTAGGAATCGCATTAACACACTCCTGTGCACATCAGGGGAATTTCTCTGGAAATCTTACTCTGTAGATTTCCTCCTCTTCCTCTGCATTTTCATCTACTAGTCCTTCCTCCTGGAGGTCACACGATATGGCACGACGGATTTCTGGTCCAATGTCATGTAGTGTACGCAAGCCAGCCTGCAAAAAGGACGTGTGTCAAAGCAAACCTCATTAGTATTGTTGTTAACAAACATTTCGATGTTCTCATGCATGAAAATAAATCTTCCCGAACAAATGAACAAAACATCTGTTTAAAGATTGTCATCAATCTTTTAGAGTTTTTTCAGATTTGACTGATGTTTGCAAAAGACGGGAAGAAAGGCAAGAGCCACTGCACCCACATCATAATAGACATGCTTTCTCTTCTTTTGTTAACAGACTGTGTGCAAACAGGGTTTGGTTTTTCCAGATTTCCCACATGATTCCCCCACTCCTGATTATGATATGTTGCCAAAGGTCTCATTGGAAAGTTCCACAGAATACCTGACTCAGTGACTTGTAGTAGGTAGTGATTATTGTTTATTCATGTGCCCGTAATGTGATGAGCACAAAGAAAGGCTTTTATTGCAAAAATGAGTCAAAACTGACTGTTTGATAGTGCTCACCTTAATTAATTTGGATGAACTGCTCACTTAGACTCCATAAATTACTCACTGTGCACTGAATTGACTGACTGAAACATTGCACTTTCCTCACCTGTAGAGCCAAGGTGGTATTCAGCCTCTCCCATGAGCGCCTTCCCACAAGACCTTGCTCCTTGCGCCTCTTGAACTTTCTGAAGTAGTCCTGTATCAGGAAGGTGGCATAGAACTTCCCCACTGTTACCTCGTCATCTGAGTGAGCAGACACACCAAAGCCTCCCAGGTCAACACCAAAACACCTCAACACCGAAAATCAGCTCATATCCATGCACTCAAGATTTAAAATACTCAGCCAGTTACTCCTACTGCTGCTATGTCACCAGCTCAGAGAACATTTAATGTGTCCTCACAACTAAAAAAAAATCACAATCATGAAGCACCACTACTGCAACATGTTGGGAAAAGAGACAACATCTTGGAAATGAAACCAAATATTTTAGCTTTATTCCAAATGCCAAAAGAGTACTGACCGATAATCCCAAAATGCCATAAATCCTCAATGCTTAACCAGGACACTGACCTTTCTGCCTAAGAAGCTCATTTTTTGAGCACATGAAAAATATGTCTTTTCTCAGGCCTATTACTAAGTACTGTCAGATTCATAGTAAACAAAGAAATAAAGATATAAACTCAGAACTGTTAATAATAGCCGAGTATCTGACTGTCTACCTCTGCAAAAGACGTTTGCTCTCAGAAAATCATGTACAGTACAGCAAGATTAATCTTGATGACTGATAACATTTAAGCCTGCAGCTTGCATCTTGCTTCATTTCTAAAATGCACGAAATTATGAAAGACTCTTGCAACATACAAAAAAACCACAAATACACAAAAACCTCGCTCAAAAAAGTGAAGCACAATCTTCAAAAATGAAGTTTATATAACAGATTTCTAAAAAATAATAATAATAAGGACGCAGACGCATGTTTATTATCAATTCAAATAAATCGAAGCATTTATGCCTGCACATATTGTACAGTGACTGCAGACTTAACTAAAATTTAAGCATCTATGATTTCAGAGACAGACAAGCAGAAGTGTTTTATGTGTTAGACCAATGATATGATCTGTAGCAAGAAGCGCATGCAAGAAAACAGCAGAGTAAAAGGTTTATAGAAGCAAGGGTAAGCTCTACAGATCTTCTATCAAGACACAAAACATAAACTTAGTTTAGCCAGAAGGGAAGCGATGACAGTGCACACTATCTGCCATGCAGGGAGGCTTATTGGGCTTGGCTCTAATTCTCTCAGATAAGTCGCTGCTGAAGCAGAACGGGGAGAGATGCTGGACAATAACAAAAAAAGCCAGCTGAATCACTGTGTGCAAGAAACAAGTGGTTTTCTCTCGGTTTGTCACCACCTCTCCATAACCCATTTTAACTGGAGGGGAACTGAGTAAACGTGACAAATGTTGTGGCCAATATTCCCTCCAGGAGTCCAAAGAGAGCGGTGACCTTTATGTGGTTATGATCCATCTTTAGGTATCAGACTCGTTTCTCTACACACACGACACAGCCAGAGTTAAGCTACACAGGGCTCTGTTCAGAAAGGACCAAAGATATAGAGCCAAAAAAAGGTATTTTAAAGTGTTCATCTGTATTTTAAAATCAGAAACTGATGATCTGCGTAAATCTGGTAATGTCTGTGTGACAGACTGGTGACCCTGCCTCTACCTGGGATAGCTGGGATAGGCTCCAGGCTCCCCACGAGCCTGATTGGATAAGCAGAAAAGAATGACTGGATCATTCGAAATTGCTAATTTCTTGTAGTTTAGTAAATACATAGCCTCACCAATTTCATTTTCAAAAACATCTAACTCCTCGACAGGAAGGATGAAATCTTACTTAACAATTAAGTAAGATTTTTCCCCCCAGAAAAATCGCATTTGGGGATTTTTACGATTCAAGTTTTTAAGGAACTCCTTGCCTTAATTCAAGTATTAGTTTGCTGAAAACGAATGAACTGATTTTACACGTGTGAGCAACATCTCAAAACCAATAATCCCTGACTCTTTTTGTTTTTCTTAAGAACAAAAGCATCCTGGTGTAAAGGGATCATAACTATGTCCATATGTGGATTCCCTTTCTGGACAGAGCCCGATGAAGTAAGTGAGGTATCAGTAGCTTCATGCCACCAGACTAAAACAGAACTGCTCCAAAGAGCTCAGGACGGCAGAAAGAGAAGAAAGGAAGGCCAGTGACTGAAAACAAAGGAAGCTGTAGAACAGAGAGGCTTGGCGAAAAAGAAAAGAGAGCGGTTAGCGAGCTAATGCACACAAAGACATGCAGTACAAGCATAGAAAAGATGGAGCTGCTATGCTAGCACAACAATGTGAAAGCCTCTCACTTAGATTATAAAACTGACTCTCCAACAAACTGACTACTTTATGAGAAGATGCTGTTTGAGTTATCGTTAAACATATGAAACACATCATTGTGGTTAACAGTGACACTTTTCAACTGAAAGGAATAAGGTGAGTTTCTGTGAAATACATAAGCTTAACTTCACAACAAATTAAAAGTTTTGTTGTAGTAAAACAGCTGGTCTTGCAGTTTCAGAAAGGCAAAAACAGGATGATAAAGGCTTCCTGTGGGTTCTTCTTCACCTCCTGTTTTCTGTTTCATAAAGCTTATTCTTATCTGTACTTCACCTTGTCCTTTACACCTACTGATCTACATCACAAGGCGAGGAACCCGTCTTGATTCTTTTGTTGACTTTAAAATTATTTTGGCTTCAGACGTACTTAGCATGCTTAGGCTTCCACTATTATTGTTTGGAAATATAAAACAAAGATATATATACATATAAGAATCCATCTGTAAAATTATTTTTATCATGTGAGCAAGAGAATGGAACAGACACATCAGAGAGACTGTCACTTGACGAAAGCAACGAAAGCGGTTTTGTCCCTGTGCACTTGTGTACAATGACCACTGACCGCCTGCAGGAGGCACCACTTGGTCCAGTAGCTTCATACTGGTCCTCTTCCAGATCTTCTTGATCACAGCTCTAAGCTCCTCATTGGCTTGCTCCAGGTTCCCTTTGAAAAGTGCAACCAAGGTTAAAAATAAGTAAGAGTACGAAGTCTGCTTTTCACACACAGTCACAACATACGTCAAAACATTTCTTACCATCATGAGTTGTAATTAATTATTATGCTTTACTTTGGTGCTAAGTTACCTTTTTTTAATTAAAGGGCCATGTTGGTTATGCAGTGGACTGCAGGAGGAACTACTACTTAAATATGATCTATAGCACCCTCTTGTGTTAATTCTGGAAGGAACAACTGAGTTTGGGTGACAAAAATAAAAGTGGTTCAACTCAGAGTGACATACTTTTCAACTGCTCAGTTAAATAGTATATGCCTGTGTGAAGCTTTAAGTGCCCACTTACTTTATTCGTTAAATATTCAACTGAAATGTGTTTTTTCCTTATTTAATGCTGATTTCAATGTAAGACTTGATTCCCAGTGCATTTAAATCTGTCTCCTATAAACTTCACTGTGCTGCAGTGGTTTCTCTGGGCTGTAATCTTAAGCTGCTGCACATACAACAGGTCACTGATCCCATTAGCCTCACCTCTTAATCCTCCTACTTAAAAAGTCAAAATGTCATAACGCTTAAAAGGCAATCAACTGCATACTACACAACATGGCAGACAGCTCTAAAATGCTAAACCAATCTATAAGAAAGCAAACAATAATTCTGCAGATCCAAAAGCGGCTAAAGGTGCACACTCACCTTCAGTCTTTATCTTGAGAGCAGTGCGGACCAAAGCAAACAGGGTGGCATTAAACATTACAGTTCCATCACTGTTCAGGGGCATGTTCATTGCCACCAGACGCTGTAAAAGAATCCAAAACACAGATTAACACTGAGGCGCCTAATGTTAAATTAGTAATGTGAAAAGTGCAAGTTTAATGAGTGAGATGTACAAAAGCTGCAACGTATTTTGGGTGATACAGTAAAAGAGTGGCAGTGCAGTGCATTATCTTCATTGCTATTGTATGGAAAGTTGTGGAAACCCACCTTACAGGCCACTCTGTGAGGGCAAAGTTTCCCAAAGCCCAGCGGGGGTTGGATCCTCCTCAGTAGAGTAACTACATCGAGATGCTTTATCCTGCCCCTGACAGCACATTCAGATTAAACGCATCACACCAAGCAAGCAGTCTCCACTACAGCCACAGGTCCTAATAAGTATGTACACTTTAGAGAATTTACAATTATAAAAAAATCACTATCATATTTAATGGAGTCATTTTTAACACTAGTATAGTGTACCATTTAAGAGATAAATAACAAGAGAAAATGCTTCAGACTACTCTTCACAACTGGTTCCAAGTACTAACTTTGCTTCTGGGTCGTATTCTGACCAGATCCTTTTAAACTCGTCCAAGTGGTGCGGCCCGAGAATGGACCAATCACGGGTCAGATAGTCAAAATTATCCATGATGACAGCAACAAACAGGTTTATGATCTGAAAGAAAAAAAACATGCAACATTTTTTGTAACAGAAACTGTGCACGGGACAGTGAAAACTCAGGTCTGCGTGTAAAAATTAGTCACTTTGAACACAGTCAGATGGCTGAAGCTTACCAGGAAAGCACAGAGCATGTAGAAGCTGATGAAGTAGATAATGGCAAAGCCACTGCCACAGGTCCTCTCCTCCCCAGGGTTGTAGTCTGACTCTGAATCACACAGCTTGCCTGGCATGCAGGCTAGCATGATCTCCTGCCAGGCCTCGCCTGTAGCACACCTAACAGTGAACGAGGAACAACGTCAACACAGCTGCAGCCGTACATAAAAAATAAAGATACATTTATTATGTACAAATACATACTGACCTGAACAGCATCAAGACAGCTTGGGGAAAAGTTTGAAAGTTGTTGTTGCGGTTGATTTGTGTCCCATCTACCATTGCTATTTTCCCAAACACCTAAAAAAGAGAAGAAATATCCCATTAATGCTTAGATTCTCTCAAAGAAAGACACATACATATTGTGCAGGGTGTCTAACAGGTCCCACCGTTTCATGTAACGATACCATTTCCTAACAAATTACCTGCATTCCAATTACAGCGTAGATGAAGAACAGCATGGCTATCAGGAGTGCGACATAGGGAAGAGCCTGAGGGAGGGAAAAAAAGAACTTGGACGCTGTGAAATCTGCAGTTTAACTTGAGCAGTGTCAAGTCATAACTGCTTCTATTTTATGTTGGTATTCTACGCAACAAAACATGCCCCTATCAGTTTTTCGAGTGCGCCTGCTGCAAGCTCATTTCAACATACTTCTACTTCTGGTTGGTTTGGTTTTCATCACAACCCTAAGCAGTGTTAGTTATTTACTGTGGTGGAAAATATATTTCTCCGAGAATTAGCACCATACACCACAGTTTACGTTGCAAATCAAAAGACTGAGAGCACTCTGAAGGAATGTGCAGTGTTATGGTGTTTTGGTAAGACAAAGATCAAGGAATTGGACAAATAAAGAAGAAAAACATCATATACATTTAAGTCAAACATATGAACTTATTTTGGAATTTTTTACTTGATGGGACAAAAGAGATGAGTATATTTATTATATTGATAATACATTATAATAGGTTAATATATGTTTTCAGTTCAGTCTGTCTCCTTAATAAAAAATGGTTAAGTGAGAGGAACAAACTGAGAACTTTATCTCATTAGATAATACAGATACTGGTTTACCTTAGGGGAAATGATTTGTGGTTGAAAAACAAAGGTGATAAATCATAGTATATCCAAATAAATGTTGCTGCATTAACTCAGCATGTTTAAAATGGTAATAATAACATACTGTGATAATATTGTATAGATAACATTGTATCTCTCTGCTACAGTCTCACCTGGAAGGACTTGATGAAGGTCCACAGGAGAGTCCTGATTCCCTCACCCCTGCTCAGCAGTTTGACTAATCGCATCACCCTGAACAAGCGGAAGAAGGTGATGGAGATGCGAGCGCTGTCCTCTGTGTTCTGAAGCGGGTGAGGGCAAGAGTTATTATGGGACAAAGAAATAAAAGGAACATTTTCCATTTTCCAGCACACTAATGAAGATATGCAACACTCGTTCATTCATGCAGTCAGTCATACATGCATTCTTTATGAGAGTCATGTATGGGACATATTAGTTACCAAGCAACACCAAATAAATTTAAATGTTTGTGAAAAGGCCTCCCACTTTAGACTTTAGAAACTGTTTACAGTGACGACAATAAACAAGCATGCAGAACAACTTGTGTGTTAAACGCCATGCTATTAACAGACCTGGAGGACTTGCACATACGGGAAATTTAAATGTGCATGTAATTGTGGACAACTACAGAGAGCTTTATCTGCAAATACACAAGAGCTAAGTCAAGAGCAGTTCATTTTAAATAACCTGACTGCTAATGCTACACAGAGCTACACTAGAATGAAGGACAAAAAGGCCAGTTTTAATCCCGCATGTCATGCCATGCACCAAGACGGGACAAAAAAATCAGCAGATTGAAAACTGGTGCCAAAATGCAACAAACCAGGTGGATTCAAAACGGGACTGTGACAGACACTGAGAGTTCAACACAAACCCTTACAAGTGATTCAATCAGTTCTGGTATTTAAAAAAGATTTTCAGCAGTAACTGAGCAAAAAGTGTAATAACAGAAAGATGCTGATGCTTTTGACTTTTTTTTTGGATGGTCACAGAAGGGTGAGGGTCTTAAATAAAAGAGGAGGGGCTTCTTACCCCTGGCTCCACTATCACCTTGACAACAGGAATGGCTGCCGACTTGAAACCAAAAGCCTAAAGTTAATCCGAGTCATACGAACCAGCACCAAACCATTCACAGGTAAGTGCTGCTGCAAACATCACATATCATCAGTGACCTGTGCTTCATTCAACATCCGAATACATTAAAAGCTCTCAGATGGAACTTTATTTAAAAAAAAAACCCAAAACAACACAAACAACACAGCATCAAAACTTACCAACAAGAACAAGATCAGCAGTGTAAGCCTGTCGCCACATATTCTAAGCAGTAACACCATAAATAAGATTCATGGAAAAAAGAATGCAAATACCTGCTGCTCTACTAAAGAGCAAGCTTTCTGTCGCAGGATTTATTCTGTTTATTACTACCAAGTTCTATATTTCAATTACAGGAGGTGTCTTATTTTAAACAGTCATTCAAAAAAATTCAAACAGACACACATCATGACATGGAAAAGGTGGCAAAGAGCGTGAAATCAGTGTTAACATGAGCCACAGAAAAGGACAAAGAGTTGCCTTGGAGTAGCAGTATAACAAATTCATTCACAGATTAAGTACGTATATAATTAAGAAACAAGATCTTAGTAGATCTAATTAGAATTTATAACTTGCTATTTTATCAATTCTTTTTTTTAATGCCAATTTAATAAAAGATCCTTTTTCACTCTTTTCATTCAAACCACAGTACGCTGACACAAAAACCAATGTCTCCCTTTTTCTATATTGACTAAATAATTATCAAATGTGTGTCACTAAATAAAGTGGTGAAACCGTTACATACTGTTCATATTTCATCCGTTTACATGACCGCACACGTGTTTCCCCACACTCACTGAACGGCAACTGAAGTGCTTTTATAATCTTATAAAAGACCCAAAGCCCTCTTTTGAGCTCTTTTAATCTCGGCTACACTCAGTTAGTTTAAGCTCAGTTAGCTCTGAGTAGATGGATTCTAATTTGTTTATTTTGTGTTTATTCTATCACATTCCAGGCGCTTATGACCTCTGCTCCTTAAGTGCGCCATATATGATCATTCCTACACTGTTTAACTATTTTAAAAGACCAGCAGGTCTCTGCAGCAACCTGGACAAATGTGGTGGGAACACAAATCTCCTGATAGGTCAGTCCCTTCCTTGAACTCTTTCATTACTGTCCCATAAAAAATACATAAAGACACAGGCTTTACAGTTTCAAGATTCCCTAAAATGCCAGTTTTCCTTAAATGATCCACACCGGTGGCTCTAAAGTTCATTTGAATAGATACAGGTCAAATTTGACCCAGAACAGCCTTAGTTTGTACTGTACAACAGTATAAAGTTTTAACATATTTTCATTTTTGTTTATTTTTGGTTACTTTTGGAAAAGTCATCAGTCTTCAGATGACCTAAAAACAGATTAAATCTGACCTGAACAGTATGTAAGGGTTAAAAAGCTTGAGTCGATTACATGTTTTTTTAAAGCAGCAGCTTTTCCTGTTATGAAACTGCAAAAAATAATTCCTAATGCCTGAAAAAAAGACAGCTGCGCCCTTGATTTGTAACACTGATGCTACAGCAAGGCACTCCTGCAGCGGAAGACACAGCAAGACATGTGCGATAAATGATTACTTACATTGATCTCAGTGATGGCAATGTCAACCACGCTACCCACAACAATTAAGGCATCAAACGTGTTCCATGCATCAGCAAAATAGTTCTGCAAGCACAGGCAACAAAGACACACAGAAAAGAAGAAAGAGAGACAACAAAGCCAGGAAGAAAAGGAAGAAGTAGTATAAAAAGAAGTGTGAAAGACAGAAAGAAAAGAGCATCAAAAAGTTGTGCTTTGATATAACAGAGCGAGGCTGAAAAGGTTTTCCTGTCTGAGCTTGTGAGAGTGCCAACTTTTATTATTGCTGGCTTAAAGGAATACATGCTCTTTGTTGGCACTTATTGCCCCCGAAAGCTAACAGCAGATTTTCAGGTTATTTAGCAGATATTTGGCCTGTGGTGCTTATCAACCATTGAGCCCGACAAAGATTTAAAAGATCGTTTCAAGTGCAGACACTATTCAACACTAATTTAAGACAGGAAGGTAAGGAAGGAGGAAAGATGTGAAGGATGGAAAAAAGGAGAGTGGCAGTAGCAGTTGGAGAGCAGGAAGAGGGAATGACAGAGTTCTACATACTGACGTCTTTCTACCTGGCTGAGTATGATGTCGACTACACTGCCAATCACCACCAGAGCATCGAAGACGTTCCAGGCGTCCCCGACATAGCCCTGAATATGGCAGCATGCACAGCCAGCAGGAGGAGAGGGGGGAGGCAGGAGAGGAGGGTGATGCAGGAAAGTATAAGAGGTTACAGTGAGGGGTACAGGAGGGTGACGATAAGAAATCAGTGGAAGGATGAGATTCGAGCAAAGAGCCCGTGATGGGAGGCAACAGGAACAGGAAGAAAGAGGGCTGGCTTAAAAGTGTCTTCAGGTAAAAACTCAAACACTGATCTTTTTGAGGATAAAATATAAAAAGGACATCTAGAGGAAAACTCTTTCCCTTTTGAATGCCTAAAAGGGGTAACCCTTGTATCGCTTTCCTAAACTGAGCAGTGTCTGTCATATTTGAGGCCTTCTTCCAGAACAAAATGAGTGGGGGTGCTCCAGAAGTTACTGAGGGTGATCTCTGCCTACACAGCTTGGAAAAACCTGGAACCTGATTTAATGGTCCTCAAACTGCATTTTTATTAACATATACTGGAGTTTTAAAACTCATCATTAAGGGTAGAGAGGTGGTCATCTACATGTGGGAAAGAGTTAAGGTACTATTGGTCTTTGAACAGATCTGCATATAATTTGCTTAAACACTTAAGTTTTTGCTGTAAGGACAATTTTTGACAGAAAATAAAATAAATCATAGAGAGGAGAGAAGAGACTTACTCTGGGCTTGAAGGCAATCAGCTTGAGGATCATCTCTACAGTGAAAACCCCAGTGAACACCATGTTCAGGATGTCCATGGCATAGTTAAATAAATGAGACTGACCATGGTGCTGAAAAGAGACATATGCACAGACTAAACACACAAATATTGAGAAACAAATACGTATTTCAGCATATGACAAAAGACTGTACATCATCATTTTAGACTCATTATGTACAGATCAGATCAGTTCAACCACTAACATTTCTAGGCACAGCAATATTTGACAAACTGATAAATTAAATATTTATTTGCTACACTATATTGCCAAAAGTATTCGCTCGTTTGCCTTCACATACATATGAACTTGAGTGATATCCCATTCTTAATCCAAACGGTTTAATATGATGTCCACCGTCCATATTCACCTACACTAGCTTCAAATCTTCTGTCTTTATTTATGGCAATTTTTGAACATTCTTCCAGAAGCACATTTGTGAGGTCAGACACTGATGTTGGACGAGAAGGCCTGGCTCACAGTCGCCGCTCTAATTCATCCCAGAGGTTTTCTATCGGGTTGAGATCAGGACTCTGTGCAGGCCAGTCAAGTTCTTTTACACCAGACTTGCGCACCATGTCGTTATGGATCTTGCTTTGCGCACCGGAGTGAAGTAATGTTGGAACAACAAGGGGCCATTGCCAAACTGTACCCAGTACCCTTCAGGAGAAGGGTACTTCTCCAGATAACCGTCAAACCCAGACTTATTCATCAGACTTGCAGATGGAGAAGTGAGATTCATCACACCAGAGTACATCTCCACTGCTCTGGTGCTTTACACCACTGCATCCGAGACTTTGCTTTGTGCTTGGTGATATTGGGCTTGGATGCAGATGCATGGATCAGGCATGGATACCCATTCCATGAAGCTCTTTTCACACTGTTCTTGAGCTAATCTGAAGGCCACATGAAGTTTGGAGGTCTGTAATGATTGATCGTATAGAATGTTGATGACCTCCACACACTATAATACCACTAACAGCTGATTCTGGAATATTTAGTAGTGAGGAAACTTGCACGGTTTTTACAGATCTTCCGCAAGTGACCCATTCTTTCACAAATGTTGGTAGAAGCAGTCTGCATGCCCAGGTGTGTTTTATACACCTGTGACCATGGACGTGATTGGATGATCATTGACTTGAATGAGTGAGTCAGTACGTTTGGCAACAAAGTCTATGTAGTGATTGTAAACCCAGTTCAACTTTACCTTAAAGACAGAATGAATAGTTCTTACCTGAATGGCCAGGCATAAGGTGTTGAGGATGATTAGGACAAACATGACGTACTCAAAGCCGGTGGAGTTCACCACATACCAGAACTTGTACTGGTAGGGGTTTTTGGGAATGTAGCGCCGAAGAGGACGAGCTTTAAGAGCGTACTCGACACACTGACGCTGCCATGGTGTTGATGGTTTGTTGAGGCAAAAAGAAGCAGAGACTCATAACCAAGTAATTAATTATTAAGATATTATTTGGCTATAATGTTGCATTATTTCTTCGTGCTTTTGAAATAATCATAAACAGACTTTCCTACCTGATTTTTGTCCAGCTCACAGTTCTTGTACTCCTTTTCCCCTTGCTCCTGGAACGTAACAATAACAAAACCAACAAAGATGTTCATCATGAAGAAGGCAATGATGATGATGTAGATGATGAAGAAGATGGAGATCTCGATGCGGTAGTTGTAGATAGGGCCCATGTTCTCCCTGTTGGAGTCGATGGCCTTGTACAGCAGACTGTAGGGACAAAACGGAGACAGAAAGTCAAGATAATCAGTTACTATCCAGTGGCAATACAGGATTTAGTTTGGAAGAAGCAAAATAAATATCAAACATTAAATTCCATCTCGCACATAAAACAGTACTTACGTGGGCCATCCTTCAAAGGTGGAAACGGTAAAAAGAGCCATCATGGCCATGAGGACGTTGTCAAAGTTGAATTCACTGTTATACCAGATCCTCTCCTTCACCATGGGCAGCGCAGTGTCACCATTGTTGTAGAGAATATATGTACCCCTGGGATTTAAAGATAATATTAACTACATATGCTGTGTGCAGACTGAAAATGCAAGCAAAACCAGTAAGGAATCAAAGGTCTCACTTGCACTCATCTGGGCTGGACTTTGCATCATCTGTGCATCGATAAAATTTACCCTTTAAAAAAGAAAGCAGATCAGGTCAGCTGCAGTGTTGTGCAAGAATCCCAAACTTTGTATAGCTTTTTATTATTTTATGGTAGAAGCATTGTTTAATTTAGTGAAGTGCAGAAGAGACGTGAGATTTTACAATCAGTGTGCGCCTGTTTCCCATTATAGCTCATTGCTGTACCTTAAAAAGTTGCACTCCGATACAAGCGAACATGAACTGCAGCAGAGTGGTGACGATCATGATGTTGCCAATGGTCCTGATGGCCACAAATACACACTGGACCACGTGCTGCAAAGCATACAGTTACAGTGCTATTAGAAATACACAGTTTGTGTCACCAACAAAAGCATGTGTTTGCACAAACATGGATGCAAATTCAGACAGACAACTAAACCCATGCACATAGACAGAGAGAGATATTGTCACTCTCACCTTGAGTCCCTTAGCTCTGTTGATGGCCCTGAGAGGACGAAGAACTCGCAAAACACGAAGAATTTTCACCACTGAGATGGCGGACGACCTATAGGAGACAGAAAAACAGATCAGGGAAAAAGGGTTGTAATTTTTAATGGGTATGTCCCCACAGAGGTATTAGTATACTGAAGTTTTAGCTGCTGAGCCACTTAATTGTGACAGAGTACAAACAGGGTTTAGAGAATCAAGATGTAACATGTTAATTCAGTTGTTTTTACTTATGACTTCTTCAGAATTTTCAGTTGAATTAGGCCATTACCCTAAGTAGCTACTACTGATTTAGTTTAGGTAATGTTTAGGGATTCATGAGTGCGGCTGAAACACAAAAGAGGCTGAAGTCTACTTATTCTATAAATTCACTGGTGAGTTACGCGCACTTTTCTCACATTGGATATTACACTGACTTTCTACTAGGGTGATGGCAGGATAAAGACCATTTAATGTCCATTCTGACTGAGTCACACATTTCCATTTTCACATATGGCTGTGCTGGGTAATGTCTAGAAAGGTTCAGGGAAATGTAGTACATGTGTGAAAACGGTAGTTTTTAACTAATCATCTGAACGTAGTTGCTCAATTTTTGATGACAATCACACTTACTGAATGCCAAAAGACACCAGAGACACACCAACGACCAGCAGGTCTAATAGGTTAAAGTAGTTTCGACAGAACGCCCCTTTATGAAGGAATGCTCCAAATGCTGTCATCTGGACAAAGGAGAGAACCATGTTGATTAGCCATCAATCAAGGAGGAGGTTCAATCAAGGCAGCAATATGACTCAAAATGCATAATAACTGTTTGCTTTAGATGATCTGTTATATTCTAACTGTTATATTCTGTTATATTCTAAGGATTAACAAAAGCACTCAAGCTTGGGAAGTTAAATTAACAGGAAAAAGTTTCAATCAATATTTAAAACATATTTGAAATGAGAAACGTCAGGGATGCATTTATGTGCAGTACCGCGCGCACACACACATTGATGGTATATACAGTACATATAGATACATTAGGTACAGACATTGCAAAATGTTAACACGACATGGGGAACATTTTAAAACTACATTCATTTCCTGTACAGATTAAGCCACAAAGTGAACCATAAACAAGGACTTTCAAGCTTAAGCTTAAATGAGATTTTCTGGTGCAGACATGCAGCAAGTAATGGGGAAAGGTTAGAGACTGATTTGTGAATGTAAAAATAATAAAACTGTTTAGGATATTTGAGGATTTCTTCAAGCTTTTTATTTGGAAGAACAGTTTTCCAAAAAATGCTTCTTATCTGTGTTCACAGTGTCCAATCAGACAGTGTGATTTTAAAGCTTGGTGTTAGTTGGAGTTCATCTACCGTCCGAAATATAGCAGACTTAACAAACATCCTACTATAATGATTGTAGTATATGAATGCACATACCCCACCTCCTCCTTAACATCTATGAACATCTATTACTATAGATGTTCATAGATGTTTAGTTATTTAAAATCTTTGTATATATCATGTTAATTTCAATCTATTATATTACATTCTCAGTACGTCCCATGTAAGTAACTTAATGGTCTGCGTATCTGTATATGTGACAGAGTTTTGTTTGAGTCACCTCTAAATACTGAATGAAGAGTTCTGAAATTAGGTCCTTAAATATCACAGACATATACCTGAACAAACAGCAATTCACTCCAGTAAAAGCGAGGACATTTTTAACGACAATCAGAATTGTGCAACCCTTACCACTCTGATTGCAGAGTGCTAATTTTGATGTAAAGCTCTATTTAACATTGAAAATGTTTTTAGGGTGTTGCATTATGTAGATATACATATTCATTTAAAATATAAAGGAAGTACTATGGAGGCAGGAGTTTGAGGTTTAGTGATCACGGGGCAAATTTATATCCACACCTATGATGTGAATTGAAACTGAGATTATTGACCAAAAAAAATCAATAATCATGTCACGTTTACATTTTCAGGTTAAACATGTACAGGTTAGCTTTAAAACTGACAGGGTTTCTATGTAGCTTGCAAAGGAGAAGAAGGAAAAGAAGAATACATAAATACATACATACACACACA